TTACATATAAATGGAAGAAAACGTACAGCATGAAGCTGGAAAATAATATTTATTATCAATTAAGGCATAGTTAAAAGGTTTCTTTATGCAATAATGTTAATATTTTGTACTTATAGCACTGTTCATCTGTGTATATCAAAATGCTTTATAAACATTAATTAAGCCTCACAATACCCTTATGGTGAACAGGTTTCAGAGTGGTAGCCGTGTTAGTCTGTATCAGTAAAAACAACGAGGAGTCCTTGTGGCACCTTAGAGACTAACAAATTTATTTGGGCATAAGCTTTCGTGGGCTAGAACCCACTTCATCAGATGCATGAAGTGAAAAATACAGGATTCCACACAAAGATGGACTACGAGCCACCAGGAATAGCATCCCTGATACCATCACGGCAAACTTGGTGGCTGAACTTTGTGACTTTGTCCTCACCCACAGCTATTTCAGATTTGGGGACAATTTATACCTTCAAGTCAGCGGGACTGCTATGGGTACCTGCATGGCCCCTCAGTATGCCAACATTTTTATGGCTGACTTAGAACGCTTCCTCAGCTCTCGTCCCCTTACGCCCCTACTCTACTTGCGCTACATTGATGATATCTTCATCATCTGGACCCATGGGAAAGAGGCCCTTGAGGAATTCCACCAAGATTTATTCACACCTTCTTGTCAACTGTCTGTAATGGGCCACTCTCTTACCACTTCAAAAGTTGTTTTTCCTCCCTTGGTATCCTGCTGTTAATTGATTTATCTCGTTAGACTGACCTCACACTTGGTAAAGCAACCCCCATCCTTTCATGTATTTATACCTGCTCCTGTATTTTTCACTTCATGCATCTGATGAAGTGGGTTCTAGCCCACGAAAGCTTATGCCCAAATAAATTTGTTAATCTCTAAGGTGTCACAAGGACTCCTCGTTGTTTTTGCTAATACCCTTATGGGATACTAAGGGCCTATGTAGCATGGTGAATCGTCCCTAAACTGATAAGTAAAGGATATGTAAAGAATTACTTCATTCAGGACTGGAGTACAGTCACCTCTGAGGTTTGATGCAACAGCTTTTTTATTAGTTCGCAGCAACACTGCAGCGGTTAAGGACAGGAAGGGAAGGGAAGTGTATATAATAGAAATTGCAGGGAAATTTATGGATTCTAAATCATCATTGAATCACCTGAGTTGGAATTTGTCTTGCTCTTAGGGAAAGCATAATGAGCTCTTTAATGACACCAAATGGTTAGGGCCTTAGTTTTATGTCTCATGTAAAGGACAGACTGACACTCCAGTTGTACAGCATACTGACCAACATTTTACATTAATTTCAGGGAGATTGGTGGTGGTCCTTAATTTGCTAATAAGGCCTATCTCAATAGACACACAATGAAAGTTCCCTTATGTTACTTTGCTGTATAATAACATTAAACACACTTTTCCCTTATTAAGGATCTTGCTGAACTACAGTGAATGTAACACTCTTTGCCTTCTTTAGCATCTCCTTGTTTGGACTGAGCTGGTAACAGTCCTGTTTTCACTCCCCAAGATGTTCTCTGATTCAACTGGTGATCCCCAACTAAATTTTGGCAAGGGAGCAAGATGTGACTTTCCATTGTGGCAACCCCAAAATGCTGCCACTCATCTATAGAAGCCTGCATGGGAAAGTTATTTAGAGACAATTAGGACCAGCCCTGGAGTCCAGTCCCTTGTCTAGGATGCCATACCTCCTGCCCCCTGCACACAGTGCAGAAGGAAAGCGTGCTCCAGGGTTACTTTCGAGAGGCCCCAGCCATCCCTGCAGCTGAGTGTGGGACACTGCTTCATCTGCTCCTGAGCTGGCAAGAGGTTCAGTGCAGAGTGGTATGTGTGGAGGTTTCTATTCCCCAGGGTAAGGCATCTTCTTCCCAATCACTCCTGAGCAGCTTGTGCCTGCACTGTTCTACATGCGGAAGCGTGCAACTCCCAACAGCTCCAGGCCTGCCCTGCTGGTTTACCTACAGTGCAGAGAACATTCTGTAGAGCTCCTCCAGCATGATCGGGGTGCTGCTGGGCCAAACCTCAGCGGTGCTGTGACCCAGGTGGCAATGCCCAGAGCGGGGAGCCAGTCCCAGTCCCACAGGACACAAGAGCAATTGCTGCAGGGTACTTGTGGGGCAGGCTTACTCTCTGACATGCCACCATCACCACCAGGGCCTCCCTTCACACCGAGCTGGTAGTGTGACCCACCTAGAGACTTCCCATACAGAAGTGATGGACACACAAGGAAGTCACAATAGCCATGACTTTTTCACTGCCATTTACAAACCTGCAACCCTAATAATAATATACACAAGTCCCAACTTGTATCCAGAGTATCAGCGCACCTTATGGCTTGCACCTTTGTTGGCCACTTTAATTTCTTCTTCTATTCATCCCATTCTATTAAACAAAATATAGGAGGAGTTTCAGGAAAACAGAGGTTAAAACAGGAGTTAATGCTTCAGTAATAAGAGTTCATGGATTTATTTCTAGTGGATGTGAAAAGATTTTACTAACTTCATAATTCAGGGGACCCTTAATGGGGCCTGCTTCACAGAACAGCTTCACTATGGGTGAAATTTCATGCATCAGAGTTTACAAAAGAGTGAGTTCCACTGTAATGCAATGCTTATAATAACCTGTCTCTAGCTTTCCAGAGAATTTGTTTAACGTGAATTGACATTCTGATTGCAATGGCCTCCTGAAATAGTCAAGTGGAGGACACTAATAAAAAGTAGATTAAGCTCACCTTGCCTGTGAAGATTTAGGAAGTTGTGAAAATTTAGGAAGTTTGAGTATTGAGGAGTCTCTATTCTTACATAAATCACTTTACTGTGTTTTTGCTTACATGTAAGGAGTCAGAGAATATTTCTTTATAAGCTAAGTAAGGGGATTGAAAAACTACGTACCATCTTGTACGCACCAGAAGATATGGTATATTATATGATATTATTCCATTAGTTTGTAGCAAATTCCTGCATGATAGAGAAAGAAAAATATGGGCCCAATTCTCCTCATTTAAAGTAAATCAGGAGTAGCACCATGGAATTGCACTGGTATGAATTCAGTGTGAGGGGAAAATTAGGGCCATTTATATCTAATACCTAGTCAACTTGCATGATTTTGTTTGTATATATTTCTGCTTATATTTAGGATTTTATTACATGTTCAAAAACGTATATGTTTTGCAAAACATTGATGTAAATGTAGTTGGTTGTGTTTGAATTTCCTCCGAAATAGAGTCATCTGCATTTGTTATTTTTTCCACATGTTGATAGGTACATTATATTAAATACATATTCTACCCACACAGACACACATTGTGTGTTTTATAAATATTTTGCATATTTGGAAATATGTCATTCATATTTTAGCATGTTTTTCCATGTGCAATATATTTGGACCAAATTCTACTCTCCATTACACCAATATAAAAGCAGAATAACTCCACTGAAGTCAGTGGTCCAAATTCTGATCACTGAAGTCAGTAGGGTCACAAGGGTATAAATTAATACAGAATTCAACCCAATCAGTTTACTCTAGATTTACAGAGAGAGCAGAATTTGGCCACTTATCTCTCTCACAGCACCGCACAGTTAAACAGTAGGGTCTCCTCATCAGAGGTCCTATCTGAAGATTCCAAACAAGTTCATAGTGCAGTTTAGATAGTGATTCTCTGTATTCTCGTAGCTGATGTTGCGTATCTTAGATCGATCCCCCTCCCCCCCACTCCCCAGTGTAGACCAGTCTTTAGCATCAGTGCCCTGCAGGGTTTACTGCCCTCCTAGTTGCTCTTTCTCTCTCACACCCACACTTGGCCTGGTCTACACTGGGGAGGAGGGGGGGGATCGATCTAAGATACGCAACTTCAGCTACGAGAATAGCATAGCTGAAGTCAACGTATCTTAGATTGAATTAAAATTACTTACTTCGCGTCCTCGCGGTCCCCCGTCGACTTTGCTGCCGCTTCAGCAGTCAATGGGAAAGCGATCAGGGATCGATTTATCGCATCTACGCTACGCGCGATAAATCGATCCCCAATAGATCGATCGCTACCTGCCAATCCGGCGGGTAGTGTAGACATAGGGTGCTCCAACAGTCTCTGATTACTATGATTACTGATTACTCACAGTTACTATGACTCAGGTATTACCATGCATCCTTTCTTATTCAGATCACCCCACCTTGTTACTGCAGTTCTGACGTTACTTATAAAGAGACAATTCAAAAGAGATGATCCCACTGAATGTAAAAAATATGTTATTGATATATTGTTAATGCAAAGCTTGTGTGCATAATTCCTAGCAATCAATTAATAAAACTTGGCAATTTTAAGGATAATCCTTCTATGAAATTCAAAAGGAGTTAAAATGGCAGCTTTTTATTTTCAGGGAAGGAATTGTCTTCTAATTTCAGAGCAGATATCATCTTTTCCCAGTCCATTCCATGCTTCACATGGGGATTTCCACGTTATTGCTATGCACAAAGAAAATAAATCAGGGTGTGGTTTGGCTTAGCTGTTCCAAATCCTCTGGTTCCATTCCAAAATGATGGCCCTGTTAGGTACAAAATATATTCCACCTCCAAATTAGGATGACTAGTACGCTAAAGCTACTGCAGAGGCTAGGTAGGTGGAGGTACATATGCTATATGCATGTTAATGGAAAGGTCACAAAGCAAATATTAGCAATCAAGAACATTAAATGGACACTCCCTTTAGGATATATCTTTCTACACCCCATAACTAAATTGGCTGCTTGGGAGAGGCACAAGCCAGCTATCATGCTTTAATGTATGACATCTTGGCTTGACAACAACTAAGTTTAACAAAATTCAGGAAATACCAGTGATAGATGGGTTTTTCCGTAAACAAAACAATGCCCCCTCCCATAAAACCCCACACTGAATTTTGAAAAGAATTTGGAAATTTGGTTGCTTTTTATTGAATTAACAGGAAAAAATAACTCATCAGAAATCAAGCCCGTGACATTCATTTTTTATTTACTAATGAATGATAAAGGGATAACAATTGTGGTTTAGGTCTTTTTTAGTGAACGTGCTTCTTTTGTGTTGTTAACTGCCAATTGTTATTTGTCTTGACATAAATCCTCGCTTCGATTTGTTTGAAGCTGCACCGACTCGTGTATGTGTACCATTGCCCTGTACTGGATGGAGTGTCAGACCTGTCCAAGCGTGAGTGACCATGTCACACTGTAGCAGATGGGCTGCAGAGGATAAAAGTCTCGTTAATACAACTGATGAAGAGTCTCATTTAGCTCAAGGTGTAGAGGCCTGTGTTTTGTTTCCCTAGGCTGCCTATGTGTGATTTAGCTAGAGATGGAGTGTCAATTGTTTGTGGGCACTGCTTTGTTAAAATAGGCTTTATGCACAATTAAAGAAAAGTGTACCCATGCTCCTAACATTAATACTCCAGAATATCCAAAGATTCATGTCTTGGCACAAAGACACTCATGAAGAACAGTACATAGCATTATCCCTTGAAATAAATGCACAACTTGCTGAGGAGCTGAAGAAGAAACAGTCGAACAACACGTGTGAGGGAGCCATAGGAAATGATACTTCCCTATTCTCAACATTACACATTCCTTCTGCATCCCACTGTATGTGACTGCATGACAATCACAGGAACTAAGCATGGGTCAAACTAGTTGGCAGGGCTGGATTAAGGCATAGACAATCTAGACACATGCCTAGGACCTAATTTGTGTATGGGGTAGGGTGGGGGGCAACCTGAGCTCTGGCTGGTCTGGTTCAGGTACTGGTGCAGGAGATGGCCCCATATCAGAAGTAAGGAGGAGCAGTTCTGGCCACCCCACTGCCTGCTCAGATTTGGCCTCACTGACCCTCTGTCATGATGGGGAGGAGGCAGGGCTAAACTTGAGCTGAGTGGCATTGCAACCCCCGGTGCACCAGCTTGCAACACCACTCACTTTTGGCCCTGCCAACCCCGCTCATGACAGAGGGCTGGCCGGGCCAAACCTGACTGGGCAGTGGTGCGGCCAGAGCTGCTCTTCTCACCCGCTGTTGTGGGCTGGCTTCTTCACCAGTACCTGAAGGAGTCTAGCTGGAGCTTTGCCACTGTCATCCAGGCACTGGATGGTGTGTGCCTCCATGTGGGAGCTGGCAGTGGGATTTGCTTAGGACCCAGAGATGGGTTAATTCAGCCCTGCTAATTGGAATTATTTTACCCTCAGATCATTAGTATGTCAGTCAGGGTTCCATACTTTAGTGGCACAATGAATGTGGGAATTAAAAGCCTAGACAAAAACTCCTTAAACTTAATCTTGACTCTTACACAGACCCTCTCTCTGGTTTGGGTAAGGCACATGACACCTCTGCCTCAGTTTCCCCATTTGTAAAATGGGGCTAATAATACTTACTCCCCTACCTCACAGGGGACTTTTGAAGACTCATAGTTTAAAGTAAAGTGGCTAGAAGATGAAAACCGTGATGCAAATGTCAAGTATTATCATGACTACCCACTGTTATCTCCATTTTTTTGAGAATTGCTTTCCCATTCGAAACCAAGGAAAAATATTCCTTTTAGTCTGACACCATCAACTGAATTTCCTACGGATTTGGTAAGGACACTCAGGAATATGAGAAAAAGAAACAAAATATTGCCCCCCTGATCCTAGTTTACCTCACATCTGCCAGGAAATTGTTTTGAAAGTACCTGACATTTGGTGCAATGTGCTGCAAATCCCAAGGCAAAATGTTTACCCTTTCCAAAGCATTGTCACGAGCCCCAGGAATAAGCTTTTTCTAACACAGACGATTCAGCAGAATCTGGCGGGAACGTGACACCCCAAGTTTTCCTTCAGTTTGGTGGTGGAATTTTAACCAAGAGATCTTGAGAACCTTTGTCCAATATGTTGCTGGAATATCGACATTTAAAAATTCCAGAAAAAATATTTACCGGCCAGATTATTTTCTTCTAACTCAAGCCAGTTAAACCTCGGATTTTAAGGTAAAGTTCCAATATGACTAACCATGTTTAAAGAAAAACAGTCAGTACAGGCAACAGCAACATTATGCTTAGGTCAACATCTTCAAATACACTACTGGAATGGTGAATGACAATAATCCCTTGGTGTGCTGGGGGGGCTGGGAGACTGGTGAGTCACTTGACTATTATGATATTAGTTGTACTGAGAAATAATTGGGTGCAAACTACAGTAAATGAGCATGGAACGATCAATTTAATAGTAGCAAATGCCAATATTATCAGGGGGGAAACTGTTATTTTCCATCCCAGAAAAAACATTTAGCCTGTTATGATTACTCTGTCCCTTCCCTATTCCCTGACAGAAATTGTTCTCTCTCCTAGAAATTAGAAGCATTTAGCTATTGCATATGTTTTATAATATAGTTAAGTGATTCGTGCACATTAACTAGCTCTCCCGCCCCCTCACTGTGAACTATTGTTTAACTTTCATATGCATCATAGGAATAATAAAATGCCAGAGAATAGGAGCTCACATGAGCTGAGCTCCAGGACTTGGGTTTTTTAACCACACGGTCTGAGCCAGGTACCAGCATGTCTCCTGGATTTAAAAGTGTTTCTCTCTGTTTCACTTGAACAAGTAAACAGATGATGTCAAATTTAAAAACAAAACAACCTTTCCCCCACCCCCCAAAAAACATAAAAAGCATAAAGCGAAGGGAAGAATGAGACTAGAGATGTAATGTTCCCTCCTGCTTTACCAACTCTCCATTATGTGGTGTTCCACAGAGCCTGCACTGCAGTCTGAGCTGCCCCACTTTGAACGTGGATTGTTCAAATCAAACAGGATTGGGACCAGTTTTAGGATTTTGAAGAAAACTGGGCCAGATGATTCTATGGGAGAACTCCCTTACTTTACTGTCCCCTCCCAAACTGACCAGAGGCATTTACAATGAAGTTGGTGCGGTGGGATAGAATAGAACAATTGTAGAATCAGGGTTGGAAGGGACCTCAGGAGGTCATCTAGTCCAACCCTCTGCTCAAAGCAGGACCAATCCCCAGACAGAATTTTACCCTAGTTCCCTAAATGGCCCCCTCAAAGATTAAACTCACAACCCTGGGTTTAGCAGGCCAATGCTCAAACCACTGAGCTATCCCTCCCCATAGGGAGTTGTTGGGCCCCCATGGTAGGGTACAGCTGCTCCTGTGCTCAGATTCATGTATACTGGAGCTGCTAATATTTGAATCCTTTTCCAAGGACATTTTCTAAATAAGCTGAGGGCCTGGGAGCAACCAGAGGGTTGTATATATATATTGGTGATTTTCAGGTTATTTTCTTTTCCCTTTCCACTAATTACTTACTCATAGATTTTGAGGCCAGAGGGGACCATCATGATCATCTGGTCTGACCTCCTGTACATCACAGGCCACAGAACCTCACCCACTCGCTCCTGTAATGGACCCCACCAATGGCTGAGTTACTGAAGTCTTCAAATCTTGATTTGAAGTCTTCCAATTACGAAGAATCCACCATTTATTCTAGTTCATACCAGTAAGTAACTGTGCAGAGGAAGATGAAAAGCACTCAGGGTCTCTGCCAATCTGACCTGGAAGAAAATGCCTTCCAGACCCCAAATATGGAAGTCAGTTAGACCCTGAGCATGTGGACGAAACCTACCAGTTGGACACCTGGGAAAGAATTCACTGTAGTAACTCAGAGCCAACCCTCAGAGCCCTCCCCAACAGCAGTTGCAGATTGTCCACATGCCATTGTAGGCAATCTCATCATACTGTCCATTCCATAAACTTATCAAGCTCAGTCTTGAAACCAGTTAGGTTTTTTGCCCCCACTGCTCCCTTTGGGTGGCTGTTCCAGAACTTCTCTGATGGTTAGAAACCTTCATCTAATTTCAAGCCTAAACTTGTTGATGGCCAGTTTATAGCCATTTATTCTAGTGCCAACATTGGCCCTTAACTAAGATATCTCCTCACCCTCCCTGGTGTTTATCCTTCTGATGTATTTAATGAAGGCAATTGTATCTCCCCTCAGCCTTCGTTTGGTTAGGCTAAATAAGCCAAGCTCCTTAAGTCTCCTCTCATAAGGTAGGTTCTCCCTTCCTCCGATCATCCTACTAGCCCCTCTCTGCGTCAATACATAGGTATAGAATCGAGAGCGGTCAACAATACGTGATGTAAACCGCCATCCCTATAGACAAATAAAATGTCTGACAGGGCACTACAGTAAAATGTAGTAGCATGAAAGAAATAAAAATAAAATTCACTAACCTAAAAGCAGCATGTATCTCTCCTTGCTTTTCCTGCCTTCTCCCATTTCTGTATCCCATTTGTCTCTTCTTCCACCTCTGACTTGCTCTATCCATCTCCATGTCCTTCTTTTAATTTCATTCTATTTTCTGGTGTGTTTTTTTAAAAGTCTCCCTCCTTCTTTGGCCTTTTCAGTTTCTTTGTAAAATAACATCTCCTGTCCTGTCCCGTTCTTTTCCAGCATCATCCCCATTCCCTCTTGATCACCACTCTCTTGCTCATGCGGATCTTACGTTCTCTCTTCTTTCTTCCTCTGCTCTCTCCATGGCCTCCAGAATTTCCAGCCTCTTGATGGTGCCACAGCCGCAGGAGCTACAACCATGAAGTGAAGCTGAAGAGAGTAAGTAATAGGCTGCCAAGTGTATTCATGAATGCAACAGTTGTCCAGTTTCATCTAACATTGGGGAGAAATTACTTTCAGGATTAATTTTCATTTCATTTCATTTCAGGATTTCAAGGTCAGGAGTGGCCACTGTGATTGTCTAGTCTGATCTCCTGCATAGCACGGACCATAGGATACCTGTACTAATTCCTGCTTCAAGCCCAATAGGTATGTTTGAACAAGAACAGATCTTAAAGAAAAACATCCAGACTTGATTTTAAAATTCCCAATGGTGGGAATCTATCACAGCTCTTGGTAAGTTGTTCCAGTGGTTAATTACCCTCACTGTTAAACATTTGTGCCTTATTTCTAGTCTGAGTATTTCTAGCTTCATATTCCATCCTTTGGATCTTGTTGTACCTTTGTCTGCTAGACTGAAGAGCACCTCTATTATCACTTTTCTGTTCCCCATCTCGGTACTTATAGACTGTGATCAGGCCACTCCTTAACCTTCGGTTTGATGAGCTAAATAAATTAAGCTCATGTTGTTTTAATTTGGTATAATTTTCTCCCAGCAAGGGAGAAAAACCTCAGCCTTTTCAGTTTTTCATAGTAGACAGCTATGTGTGCCCCTGATTCTGTTGCTCCTTTCTTTCCTTACATAAGAACGGCCATACTGGGTCAGACCAAAGGTCCATCTAGCCCAGTATCCTGTCTTCTGATAGTGGCCAATGCCAGGTGCCCCAGTAGGAATGAACAGAGCAGGTAATCATCAAGTGATCCATCCCCTGTTGCCCATTCCCAGCTTCTGGCAAACAGAGGCTAGGGACACCATCCCTGCCCATCCTGGCTAGTAGCCATTGATGGACTTATCCTCCGTGAACGTATCTAGTTCTTTTTTGAACCCTGTTATAGTCTTGGACTTCACAGCATCTTATGGCAAGGAGTTCCACAGGTTGTTTGTGCGTTCCATGAGTTCTCCCGCCACCTTTCCTCTGTCCTACATGTTTTCTCCTCAGTCTCTCTAATCATATTTGGAGGTGGGAATTGTTGCTGTACCTAGGGCATGTATGTTGTAAAGCCTGATCCCTTCTTCAGATCAACCCACTGCAGATCAACATAGGATCAAGCTCAGTTGTTGGCAAGCAGCCAGCCAGTGGTGGCAGTCCTAGTACCAGCATCAGAAGCTCAAGTGGTCCTCTTCACAGCAATGAATCGACAGGGTGAGTCACTCCAAAATTGGAGACCCATGGATTTAGGCTTTGCAGAGCCCAAATATTGACTCTAATTATCTGTGGTAGAGACCCAGATAATGAAAACAAACAAACAAAAAATCTGCCATGACAAACTTTCTACTCTAGTTTACCTTGCGATGGTTATCTTCACAATGAGAATGGCTAGAAGCTGGGCCAAACTCTTCCCGAGGATAACCCTACTAACATCAACAAATTTGCAATAACTGTGCCCCACTGTTTTAAAATAAATACTCACAAAAACTGCTGGACCTGGAGCAACAAAATTCAGAAGCCCCGATGTCGGCCCTGTGAAAGATAGGATGCTAGAAACAGTCACACAACTGATGACACTTAGCTTTTCTACTTCATAACATTGTAGATCATTCTTCTTCCCAGACGCCTTCCCAAGAAATGTACACACTGAATAATTCTTTCTGCTCACACAGGGCCTAAAATTCACACAAAACTCTTCTGACACAGGGAAGCAATATCTCCATTACAGAGATGGAAAACCTGACACAGAAACGACTCACCTTCCAGTCACTTGCCCCAGGTCTCACAGGAAGTCCATGGCAGAGCCAGGAATAAAGCCAGACCTTCTGACTCCAGATCTTGTGCCTAATCCACAAGACCATCGCTCCTTCCACTCTGCCTGTGTTTGTACAGTACGTTGACCTGACTGGAAGAGGCACGCTAACTTAAAATACTAAATTCCATGTATTGGGCCAATTTAAAAAAAACATTTTTTGTCATGGTTCATTGTTTTTCTAACTAGACATTAGGCCGTCTCCGTGAAGCGAGACAGCCTTCCTTTCAGAATTTTCCAGGAAGCACAGTTGTCTCCCACATGTTATGCTTAATGTAACTCAAACAAATGTTTTAGGAAATTCCTTCTAATTCAGTGAAATTGTGAGCTTGGCAATGGTGCACTGGAAATGAGACTGAAAGATACTGTATTTTTTTTTTTAAGTGTAGAGGAAAGTTTGGGCTTAAAATTGGCTGCTCAGGGAGATAGAAACTCATGTTATGCATAAGGGATTTGGCAGGTCTGAACACAGAAATTTCCAGAAGTGTTTGCGTGGCAACAACTCTATGCCAATCCACATTTTTTAGCTATTCTGGCCAGCTGCCCAGCCTACAAGAAAGACTTGTATCTCCACACAGTTCACTGGCTTCCCTGATGAGTTTCCATACTGCATGGCAACATTGGATAATCTTATTTGTGTGCCAAAAAAACTCCTGCTACTTATATTGTTACTAAATACCAGATGTGCTTAATAAAGAGTAAGTGGAGCCAAACCTAGGGTAATCACATAACCTATCATTAACATTTTCTAACAACAAAAATGCAATTGGAACACCAGATTACTGTTTTGCTTTGTTTGCTTAACGCCCTATTACTGGAACCCCTAGGGTGATGGGAACAGAACGCGGTAGGAGTAGACAGTTCTGGCACAGTTGATGACGTTGTTTACAATCACACCCCTGCACATCTGAAACATGTGTGAGAAAGTAAAGGCTAAGCAGATTTCCTTTGCACTCGGCACAAGGGCTGAGAGGGAAGGGAAAATTGCAGCAGGAAGTCTACAATGAGCTAGAAAGTAGAGGGATCATATTTCTTTATCCCATGGTGGGGGATAGAACAAAACAACTGTGTGGGTTTGATCCTGCATTCCTTGCACATCCAAAGCTCCCCGATGCACAAGGAATGCAGGAGTAGGCCTTGTTAGATTAAATTTAATGACAACTAAAATCCTCAAGTCCATTAAAAACATATTTTTGTGTGTGGCAGGGTCCCAATCACCACATGAAATGTATGCACATTAAAATGGGAGTTGCATATGTGCATATCCGAGGTTGACCAGACCCTTGGGGAAAAAAAGTTAAGTCATGCCAATGGCAACAGGCCTCTATAGTAACAGGCACATGATAGAAGGAGGGATACAAATATGCTCTGACATTTATAGATCCTCTGTATCACCAAAAGAAAAGGCCTGCTGAGATTCAACAGGAACACTGTAGAAGCTGTGAGTCAACCCAGTGCAAAGAGATGTCATCCTGACTGAAAATAGATGTGGGTGAAAAGGCCAGCTTTTCCCCACAAAGTTATCTGAAATTAGGCATTTTAATGAAACGAATAGAAAAAGTTTTCATTTTTAATCTGCATTGTTATCTGTATGGGGGGGGGGCGGGAATCAGCAAAAATACACATAACTGAACATAACTGAAATTTACCAGGAAAATCAGTTCTTCAGTGTGACTGTTTTTCATTTTTGGGTTGTGGAAAAGAAGATGACTGGGCCAAGGTTGGTGGGAAGTTCATGCATTTTTATGCATTATGTGGTGCAGCAGTGAATACAAAACAAAGGCCAACAGCGGTCCCATTCCCTTGGTCCCTGAAGAGAAAACTCCCACTGACTTTATATAGGAGTTTCGCCTATACCAAGATTGCAGCATTGGTCCCAGGAGCCACAGCCCAGGTAACAATGGGTGAACAGGTTACAATGGGTGTAGTCTGAGCAGCCTGGAGGCTAGAGGGTGGATGCCTTGACTCTTGATCTTAATGTTGTGTAACATGACTAAATACAAAAGTGCATTACAGTTCCTCAGCAGGGACAAAGAGGAAGCCAGCACACAGAGGGAATACAAAGGCCTCAGTCCTGCAAGGGGAGCTACAAATGCATATCCTTCCTCCCATGTAGAAGTCTCATTGAAATAAATTGGACTCCTGTGGATGTAAGAATTTGTGTTCTGCAGGATCAGAGTCAAAGCCCATTTCACTTACCATCAGTTTGATGATACTGGTTTTCAAGGCTGAGGCAAACTAAGGGTATGGCTACACTTTGAGCTGGGGGTGTGATTCCCAGTTTGAGGAGACATACTCATGCTAGCTCTGATGGAGCTAATGTGCTAAAAATAGAGCACAGCTGCAGCAGCGGAAGCAGCAGCAGGGGCTAGCCACTCCAAGTATGTCCCTAGGGTCTTGGATGGGATTGTGCTTGGGGCGGCTAGCCCCTCCCGCTGCTCCTGATCAGAGCTAGCAGGGGTACATCGCCTCAAGCTGGGAATTATATCCCTAGCTCTAAATGTAGATGTACCCTAATACAACTGGCATGCTGCCAAGTAAGGAAGGCTTTCCATTAGCCAGCTTTCCACACTTGACCTCTGCACTAGTGCTATTGTAGTTACTTCTGTTTTGCTCCTGCTTCCATTTTTGCTTCATACACAGTGTGCGCATCACATCTTCTTTATCTGTGTGTCATCACTATCGCCTTTCCTGTCTTTGTCTGTTGTCATAATTTCCTGTGCTAGTACTACACAGTTAAGACCATGTGTCCATCTACTTCCCTATGGAGTCTTACAGACTTCAGTGCAACTTGGTCAGGAGTAACTATATGTATGGTTGTAACGCTTTTCAGGGTCAGCCCTTTAGATTGTAAGCCCGTCAGTGGCAAGACTCTCTCTTTAGCACCATGCAAATTTATGGTGCTATTATATAAATAAGCAATAAAATAACAGAGGGCTCTAGTCATCCATCCTTCCTCACATTGCATTATACTTTACTCCACAGGTAGTTCCACTGAAGTCAGGGGAGCTGAGCAAATCCAGAGGAAGAAGAGAAACATGCGACCCCCTGTAAAAGAGTAGCACAGCTCTTGCTTGTATTGTCACAGAGGTCCTGGGCACTATGACTGACCCAGCCAGAATGCCTTCAGGGACTCCCTCTGCTGCACCTTCCTTTACTCCAGATGGAGCCATGCTGCCGTGAGCATGAGGAGGATGCTGGCTCTCAGACCTGGTTCAGAAGCAGAGGACTCCCACACAGATGGCCCCATCCCTCCTGCAGAGCCCAGGAAAGCCATGGGGCTTGGGAGCCAGACTCAAACTCAGGGTGACCTGATTTCCAAAGTGAAAAACTGGGACAACTGTGCAATGGTGGCAGCTCCCTCCCTCTGTCCCCACCCTTGTTCACTCACTTCCCTGGCACCACGTCACTCACCTAAGGTAACAGTGACTGAAAGCTCCAGTTTAGGATAGTCCTGCCTCTTGTGGGTAGTTTGCTGGGCATGCAACAGTGAATGGAGTAGCAGCTCCTCCTCACTGCCTCCAACATCAGCCTTTTCAGGGCCTAGACACATCTTCCGGAAGGGTTAGGAGAAAGTGTAGGAGAGCAACTAATCCCATCCCTTGTGTGAGAGCCTTCCCTCCCCCCGCCTCAAACTCCCCATTCCACTTCCCGTAGCCACTTCCAGTCATCTGCCTTCTTCCTGGCTACGCCCTGCCTTTGCAGCTCTAGCTAATATCCTGCACTTCCCAGAAAGACCCCAGTCCCTCTACTCCCAGGAGACTCCAAGACAGAACATTGACATGAAAATCAAAACCTGACTGAGCCAGTCCAACATCTGCTCATCCTAGATGTGGGGGAAACTCCACATCGGAATGTTCATGGAATTTTGTTCCTCCTGAGACTCTTCCTGCAGGTTTTAAGGCAGGAGGTGGCAATATGGCCTGTAATTCTTTAATTAAGTAAGATGAGGAGACTTTCTTCTTGAAAATTGACTGGGACAAGGAGGCACTCTTATAAGTGAGTGAAATATGAGAACCCAGAGGCCAATCCCTAAAAATACCTTGTCAAATGGATTATTTTCATGCTAGGCCCACATATTCCATTCCATCCAATGTACAGTAGGAGCTAAAAGGAAGGCACAACCTCCCACACTCACTTAGAACCAGCCTTTTATGAGGACCGAAGATTTTATTGTCTTTTTATTATTGTTGTTTTTTTTAAAGTAACCCCACACACACACCAAATGATCCCTCAAGTGGACACCTAACCCCAGCCCAAGGTTGCTCTCCAGCTATACAGGCACAGAACACACTGTCTGGTTTCTCTAAACAGTCTTGCAAATACAAGTACAATACTTGGCTCCTGGCAACCCAGTTGTACAGTAACATCCAGGATACAGCTTGCTTCAGCTATTCCCCCAGTAGATACAGCCCCTTTTCAGCAGGAGGCTCCGCTCTGCTGATTAAAGCAGCTTTTTCTGGCTCAAGTTCATGCAAAACTGAGCCCTGCTGCTCATGCCCTTGGTGAAAGGATCCTTCCCTTGACTAGAGCCCCTCTCTTCTGAGAGAAGTCTCTTTAACTTGTAACTGGGTCCAGCTAGAGTATTTCCTGTTACCTACCCCTTGATTCTGCCTTAACCTCTTCCCTGCCATGATGCAGGCTAAAGGACACTCCATCACAGAACCATGCTGATCCCAGCTGGGCAACACAATGGCAGGAGATAAGTGCAAATTAAAGCACATGGGAAAGATCTGTGAGCGCTCTCATACACATTGACATGTCTTATATAACCTGTTACCATTCAGGACACAGACCTAGATTAGTATTAGTGAACATTAGCTAGGCACGCCTGTGTATTCTTTTTAAAGAAGCAGGGAACAGCCAATTTAATTACAAGGCCAAAACCACATTTACAACTGTTCAAAGGAACAACCTAAAAAAACAAAATAAAACCAAACCATAGTTAACCCATGGAACTCACTATCACAAGGTATTACTAAGACAAAGGTTTTAGTAAGAGACATACACATATTAATTTACATGAATAATAAGAATATCTGCAGTTTACTAGCTAAGCTAAAAATGTATAAAGGATATCAGCTCCCATGCAAGCAGGTCATTAATGGCTAGGGATTAGGAAGAAACTTTCTCCACAGGCATGTTATTGCAACATTGTCCATTAGGAGTTTTTTACATCTTCCTCTACATAGCACATAGTGTTGGCCAGGATACTGGACTAGCTGGACTTGAGAGGCAGTGTAGCCCAGTGGAGGAGGCACTGAAGTAGGAGTCAGAAAATCTGGGTTGTATTCCTGGCTGTACCATAAGGGACCTTGGGCAAATCTCTTTGCATCTGTTTCCCCTTTGTCTATTTTAACCCTAGGCTCTTTGATGCAGAGATTGCCTCTTATTGGGTACAGTGGCTAACAAGAGGGACTCTGAGCTGGGCTTTGCTTTTAGGTTCTATCATAATATAAAGAAGTAGTTGCACTATTGGTCTGTACTATTATGCCAGTTCCTATACTTCCTACAAATGGGGACAGTGGGCCTGATTCTGCTCTCAATCACACCACTGTAAAATTAATCAATTAAACCATCTCACTAGCTAAAATTTTGGTTAAGCATTGCTCTGTGCTGGAAAGGTGCTAACTCCATGTCCACAGCCCATGCAGAAAAGGTCTGCCTAAATTCCTGTTTGAGTTCCGTAGGCTTGTTTGTGCTCTCATTTACACTAGTTTTTTACTGGTATAACTCCACTAACTTTGATGGGGTTATGCCTCATGAAGGGGGGTTCCAAAGAGGATGGAGCTCGGCTGTTCTCAGTGGTGGCAGATGACAGAACAAGGAGCAATGGTCTCAAGTTGCAGTGGGGGAGGTCTAGGTTGGATATTAGGAAACACTATTTCACTAGGAGGGTGATGAAGCACTGAAATGGGTTACCTAGGGAGGTGGTGGAATCTCCATCCTTAGAGGTTTTTAAGGCCCGGCTTGACAAAGCCCTGGTTGGGATGATTTAGTTGGTGTTGGTCCTGCTTTGAGTAGGGGGTTGGACTGGATGACCTCCTGAGGTCTCTCCCAACCCTAATCTATGATTCTAAGGGCCTGATCCTGCAGAGCGCTCAATGCTTTCCACACCCGTGGACCACTATGGGAGTTGACGGCACTCAGCAACTTGCAGGATTGGGCCCTTTCATTGGTGTGAAATCAGGACCATTGTGCCCTCATTGACACTCACCATTCTTGAAAACAGGTTGTCTCCCCTTGTTGGCCCAAGGTGGAGAACAGCTTCTTGTTTGCTACGCCAACTAAAGGTGCAGATGTGCAATGCTTCTTCTCAAGTTTCCATCATGTCCAGAGCCCTGAATAAGGTGGCACAAATAATACGCATATAACTATTCTATGCATATAACTATTCTATGCAAGAAAAAGGTTCAGAATATAGTGTTACTGCTCCCAGCTCCGCTGCCAATAAAACACCTGATGAAAAGCATAATTCCTTTGATGCAGCTTCAATCAAGTGCTTTACAAATAAAGGTGGATCTAATATATGTTGTACTTGCAACATGGTAAATAGAAAGTCCACTTGTGAAATCAATATGACTGACTACTCCAGAGAAATCATAATGCAAATCTCTGAGAGCTCCGAATTGCTCTATTGTTCTATGGATTTTGGCTGCAAATTGTTCTGGATGCTATAGGATATTTGGTTGCTAATGGCTCATTTCATATTGAACTCTTAAGGACATCCTATATCTTTCAGGCTGTCAACTACCGGTGTTATTTTTCCTCATTTGCAGTATCATAGTAGAAAAAAATATTAGATGAAGTTAAACTCTAGATGATAACAGGACTGACAATTTGTCTTCTATATGAATATTATTTGTATTCCAGTATTATTGGGTTGGAAAATATTATTGACTCCTCAGAATTATCATTTGTTCACTAATTGCCCTTGGAACCTAATCACTATGGGCCAAAGTGGTTAGGCACTAGTGTGAGTCAGTAGGGCTGGGTTCAGGGCCTGGCTCTGCCACAGATTTCATGTGTAAGTCACTTAACATGACATCCTCAGAGGTATTTAGGTGTCTAAATACCTTTGAGAAGCTGGGCCTTAATCTCTCTCACTCCAATTCAGCAAGGTACTTGAGCACATTGATATGATATTGATTGAGACTCCTTGTGGGCTTAAAGTTAAGCACGTTTCAGTACTTTGCTTAATCAAGTACTCTGAGGTTCATGCCCTTATCTATCAAAATGGTGTCAATAATATGTCCCGACCTTATTGCGTGCCCTGATGCGCTCAAATATCTTGGTGATGAGTGTCACAGAAAATCTTATAAATACATAAACTAATAAATAACTCCCCCTCCCGCCACTGCAACTCTTTGACAGCTGTGCTTCTCTTTGACAGCTGGACCCAACACCCTGCAGTGGAGACTCAACCCTACATCAGTTTCCAGGACTGGCCCAGTAGTCCCCTATCAGCTGCTCCATAGAAACCTCACAGGAGGAGTCTGCTGAAGGGACATACTGGCTGGCCACTCAACCCCCACTCAGTGCTGCCCATGCTTCAGGATTCATTGGCTCACTGTGGGTCCCCACTAGGAGTAAATTACAGCTGCTTTCTATCTCAGTTTCACTTGCATGGTCTTTCTGCTGCCAAAAGCCATTCACCAGGGTCTGTGTGAACAAAGCCTTTTCTAACTCCATTTCCTCAGCTTTTAGATGATAATGAAATTATGTAATGATATAAACCATATCGAAATAGGTGACTTTTATTCCGAAATAAGTGTCTTCATGCACAGATTCACAGACTTGTTCCCAAATAACAAAAAGGTGTGATTTAAAATTAATTTAGTTATTTCAGTGCAAGTTTGTGTTTAAACCAGCGCTTATATTAGTTTAAAACTGGCTTTAGAGCAGTTTTATTTGCACTTCTACATTTACCAATGGAAGACAAAATAATATGAACCTAGCTGAAATCGAATTAAGAGTATCCACACAAGGTTTTGCCTTAACTTAACATCATACCTTTGGTCAAACAAATACAACATTGAGTGTAGGCCAGGCAGAGCCGGCGCAACCCATTAGCCTCTCTAACCCTCCCCAAAACCCTTAGCTCGGCCCTGTGTGCAATGAGATGATCATGGTGACCAGAAAATGATTACATTTAGGGTTAAGGGGTGATGTTGTTTCCTGGGCTAATGTAGGAATTGCTGCGGCTGGCTCTGCTTGTTGACATTTTCAGTCCTGCCTGAAGCAAGGATGGGCCTGGCTGGGATTCACAATAGGCAGCTGTCATGGTACAAGTGTGCCCATGGCAGCTGCAGGAAAACAAACATTCCTCCTCCATCCCCCACCAGTGCTGCTAGAATTGCATGGGAGGGGGTACATCATGCAGCCCCTGCCCTGGCCAACTGCATCAGCAATGTGTGAGGAGGAAGAGAGGAAGTAGGACCAAGCTGTTGCTGTCACCTCTCCCCGACTAGTTCCACTCCAGTGTCAAATCTACAGCGCTGGCACTGGGAAAGAGCTGGGAGCCCTGCTCCTCTCTCATCTACCCAGGGAAACCCCCTGTCCCACCCCCCCTCAGTGATTTTTTCTCTCAACTGTTAAACTGCTGTATTCTCATAACTAAATAGTGCCCAGTCACTACTGTGATGGGCTCCTTTGAGGTTTGTGTAACAATAATGATGGGCAATTCTGCAGGATTTGGCCTAATAATGATTATTAGTAGTTGTGTTATGGTAGTGGCTAAAAACCTCAACCAAGCTCAGGGCCGCATTGTGCAAGGCAGTGAACAAACAGCCAGTGAGAGACAGCCCCTGTCCCACAAAGTTTAGAATCTAAATAGACAAGACAGTGGGTAAAAGGAAATATCATTATCCCCTGTATTAGGAGATGATGCCCGAAAACCTGTTCGACTTTTCCAAGTTCAGGGATTGATGCCATTTCTTTTGAGTCCCAGTCCGATGACTTAAATGCAAGACCTGCCTTCCTCTCAGTAATAATAATCAGTGTCTGTACAGCAGTCTGAAATGGTAAACAGCTATGTAAGAGCTCTATTTATTACTTTAACAAGTGACACTTTGTTTTATTTGTGCAAATTCATTAGAGAATTTCCTTAAGGGCCTTGCTGACACTGATAAACCCAGATGAATTTGTGGGAATAACTTTTCCCTCTTCTTTGCACAACAGCAGACAGCTGGAGTTATTGAGATACAAATCTTGTGGGTGTGGGTCAAATTTATTCTTTAATTAATCTTGGTGTAACAACTGCATGTTTGTTCTGACATGAGAATCATTTGATGTAAAACCTTTTTGTATCACACCTTCTCAGTGTGGTGATCCTTTCTGATAACTCTTTTAAAAGAATTTCCTTGAGTGATCTGTCCACACCTTTCCCTGTTAGTTCCTCCCAAATGTTACTCTGATGCTCAGGTCACCCTGTTCACTTGAAATTAAAACAAAATCCTAGTCTGAACAAGCTCAGGATAATCAGTGATGTCAATTCCGAACATAAAGCGGTCCCCATGATATTATCAACTCTATTTGTTCCTCCTATCTTTGGAGCAGTATATATTTCACAATGGCACTAAATTTGGCAGGTTTTTATCCTGGTTCTTTATTGTATAAGCCCTGGGGCAAATGACAATGGAATGGAAGCTTGAATGGGCTTGTTTAATAGACAGACTTAAATAATGCATCTGCAATACTGCACTAAGGCTGTGTCTATACTAGCCTTTTTTCCCTAGGATTTCCCAGCACCGCAATGGGAAATGCTAGTGTAGAGACAATGCTCAGGCCATGGCTGGCACTTTAATCACTGTGTTATCTAACCTTGCTCAAAGCAGGCCTATGCTATACAGCATTTAGAAGGCTGGCAACTACCTCAGCCCAGTCCACACTAGCACTCTCACCTTCGCTACTACCAATGAGCTGTATTTTAGGGAAAACTGGCTAGTGTAGATAAGGCTATGGGGTCTGATCCTGCAGGCATGGGTAATCCTTACTTAGGAGAGCGGTCCCGTTGACTTCATTGACCGATTGCCTGTGTACCAAGGGTGAGGGTCAAACCTCTACGTTTGAAATGTCTTTCCGACATCTTACTTTGTGCTGGCAGGAGGACTGGCTCCATGCCATGCCGTGCTCTTTATCTGAACAAGCCATAGTCAAGGTAACAATACGATTCCCCAAAAAACTCAAACCGGAAACATTATTCACAGGCACTGCTGATGATACAGTAGCAGCCTGTTTATAGGCCTGATCCTGAGAGGTACTGAGCACCCACAACTCCTGTTGCAGTCAGTGGGAGTTGAGGTCACTTTGCACTTCACAGGATGCTTACAGCACCTTACAGCTTAAAGGCTTAGGATCCGTGATTTTAATGCTGTGAATACAGCTAGAGGGCTTGGCAACTGGAGTATGTTCTTATACATCTAAATTGACATCTATTTTAAATTATAAGAAGACTTTTATTTAGAAAGTAACACACACACACAAGCGCTTAGGGCGCTGAACAACAATCACAAACTCAATTTCTCATTCATTAATAAAAGAACAGCCTGACCTCAACAGATAAGGTGGGTAAATAAAGACAACATAATAAAACAGCAGCAGCCTCAGTGGTAGTCATTTCAAAACACCTCCTCAGAAAACAATACATTTTTAGGTTTGTTTTTTTTTTTAAATGTGGAGAGATTAAGTGAGCCAGATTTCAGGAGACAGCAAGTTCCACCATGTTGGGGCTGCTACGGCAACAGTTTGATCACCTACTGACTTCAGGCATGATAGCGGAACCAAATACCATATGGTTTGAGAGTGCAAAATCCCCTCTGGGGAGGCTCAAGGAGGGGGTCTCAAATATAACCAGAGCCAACCCCACTCAGAGCTACCTAGTCCAATAAGGCTAATTTAGTCTGAATCCACTACTCAATATGATCCCGATAGCTTAAACCCTTTCTGGCAATGGTGATGCTGCATTCTGAGCAAGCTGCAAATCAGCTTCCCTGATAACCCAGTGAAGAGGGAATTGCACCAGTCGAGGTCAGGAGGATGTGCATTGCCACCTCCAGGTCGTCACAAGATAAATTGCATAGCTGAAAAACCACAAAAAGGGCCAGATCCTCTGCTGGTGCAAACTGGCTCATTTCACTTCCATGGAGCTATGCCAATGTACAGCAGCTGAAAACCTGGCTCAAAACATATTCTTTATTTGTACAACTTGGTTTATTGTCCAACCTTCAATTTCACAGATATACCAGAAAAGGATCTGATCTGTATTTCCCCTCTGGATGTGTTACGGTAAGACCTTTAGCTGGACACATGTACCAGAGAAGTGTGCGTATACAGAGAGGGAGACTATATGTATTCTAAAATGCTCAGTTTGCAGTGGTGCCATTTTTACACTGAACAACAGCACAGCATCACTATCAATTTCCCCATCCCAGTCTGCTAAAAAACAACTGATACTAACTGCATACCAGAAATACCAAGTCCCCACAAAGCCTCTGCTGTATAGAGTCTCTTTTTTGTCTGATTCACTAGATCTTTGGCAGCACTCCAAGTTTTTTTTTGGAGGGGGGGGGACTTCCTGAGCATACCAACAGCCTCATTTTGATCTGTGATACTGAGCACTCATTTCCACTTCACAGACTGTGCTGAGCAGTGCCATAGAGAGACAAATCCCAGAAGTGGAAGAAGAGCAGAGTGGGGAGGAAAGATGAAAGCAGAAAAGAGCTGCATTTATTAAGCTGTTTTTCTTTCAGTGAAAAGCGGCATTTATCAGTGATTTCATATATCATGTGAGAGGTGGCTTCCTGCCAATTTCCAGGGATCCAAACAACCCACTGACATCATATGCTAAATATAGAACAGCCCTTGCTTTAGGTGAATAAATAATGCAGCTGCAAAGGCATAGGTCTTCAGTTACACATTTATTATGATCAGGCTGTCAGGTTCTTATAATCAAAAGAATAATGTCCAGTCCAATAAGGAATGATTGGCAAAGAACTCAAAACAATTACAGACAATAGCTGATTACACCAGTCTGCTGCTGATTTCCATGCCACTGAAATTATAGGTGGCTGTAAACCATGTTCTAGCTTTTCAACCCAGATCTGCTGTGTCCCTCCCTTTTCCTTCAAGCCGGGCTGTAAAGATGAAAGTGGTTGGAGAGGTTATGAACAAAGAACATTGCCAAAAATGTGAAAACTTCATTAGCTCTTGCTGGGGAAGGGGGAGAGACGGGGGAAGATATGATCAAATTATGCCAGCAGTAAAATAGCAGCCTCTGTGTATGTAACTGCTTCAGTGCAAGAGGCTTTCCAAACTCATTCAGAGACAATTTTTAATTGATGCCATCCAGTGCTAATCACTCTTGATTCCTCTAATATTTTTATTTAAGGGCACTTGTATCTAACAAGTAGTTAACCAAGAGCTGTAGTTGGCAATCTGGTAGCTAGGTGATGTCCCTGAAACCACCTGAAGAAGGATTAAGATTCATAATAAAAATCTAACCAATATTTTCTCCCTTCAGATCGAAAGCATCATCAGATAGGAGGGACAGCCTCTGAAACCATTCTTAATGAGGGAAAATGGAAAAGGAGAGCAAGAAATAAGAGGACAATGCACCATAAGAGCTGCCGCAAGGTGTTGGATCAATGACAACATCTGCATGAATTCTTTTTTTACACAGTCTTGGATACAACAGAGGTTGTTACTATGGAAACTGGTGTAAAAGCATCACACAGAAGGGAGAAGGCTAGAACAAAAGATGAAAAGTAAGAAAGATAAAAAATTTAGATCACACATAAGGAACACAATGAAATGACATCATCCAGGCTCATTGTTTGCATCAGGGCTCTATAACACATTGTGGTTTCTGCTCTAGACTGCTGAATGAAGAACTGTTATATTTGTGAATGATAAAGAATGCGGTAAAATTTGAGTTCAGGAATTATCATCACCATTCCGTAATAAACAGAAGCATTTAATATCATGCAGCTGTGGATTCATCATGCAGTGTGAGAAATATTGTGCCAATGATCGTAATATTCTCAGAAAGTTATAATGACTCATGCTTTTATCGCTATTAAGAAGCAAAGTGAAAATAATTTTACACACATTTGATCTTTTGGGTATTGACAAGCCTTTCATATAAGAAAAATATGGCCTAATTTTCAAGTGTGTTGAGCACCCACAGCTCATACAGAATTCAAAGGGATTTGCAGATACTCAGCACTTCTGAAAATCAGAACATATATTTTGAGTCAGAAAGTCTCATCAATTTCCAAAATATCAAAGATGCATAAAATTATTTGCACTTTGCTTCTTAATTAGGGCCTGATACTATTCAGAGCTCAGCACCTCCAAAAGCGTGCTGAGAATCATCAGCACCCATCTATTATAGTCCTGAATCAGGACAATATTTAAGCATGTACTTAAGTGCTTACCTGAGTGGGAGCTGAGGTAGATAAGAATCTCTGAAAAGAATCAGTTTACATATTTAGGTCCCTTGATATAAATGTACGTACCTAGATTTTAGGCATGTGAGTTCAAAGTTCTTGGCCTC